ATGGTCTTTCAGAAGAGAGAACTCAGCTAGGATAGAAATTAGTGAAGTGTCTGTGTGGAGATAAAGTCACAGATGCCACCACACAGGAGAAAGCACAGAATGAGAAGAGAGGTAGCTGGACTTTAGAATGCCAAGGGCGAGTAGAAGAGCCTGCAAAGAGATCTGAGATGGAGCAAGGAGACAGGAAGGTTCAAAGCTGTGGGGTCACAGAGAACAGGGGTACTGAGTTTTTAGGAAGGAGTGATCAAGAAATATGAAGATTGAAAATTCTGGTCTGATTTAGTGATGTGGGGGTCATTGGTGACCTTGGAAAGTACAAGAGAGAAACTGGAATGGTCACCAGAATGAAAGCAGGTTGAAAAATTATGGAAGATGAACTAGAGATAGAAATTATAGCAATACTTAAGAAAGGTCTGGCTGTGAGAGAAGAGAGAAGAGCTGGTACCTAAAAAGAAATATAAGATGTAGAGGGTTTTTCACATCATTTTGTTTTAACAGAAGAGATGTATGTTTAAAACATGATGGATAATTTAACTCAGTTTTCAATTAAAACTGAAGAGAACTGTAATCTATTGCCTCTAATCCTTTTGTCAACTACAATGCAGCCAATTTTCATTTTAATTATATGGTAGTTTATTCAGAAGAATAGTGCTAACATTAGGGAAGAATTAAATAATCTGCAATTGCATGTTCTCAGCAATTTCATATAAGATTCCCCTCACAATAGCTATTTTAAAAGGTATTATAGTAATGGTTCACTCCATTTTAAGAAGTGTAGTGTGTGTGTGTGTGTGTGTGTGTGTGTTAATGTGCACCCAATCAGATCATGATGGCATAAAGCAAAATTTGACGAACTATGGCCCTTTTGCCAAATCTGGCTCACCATTTGCTTTTGTAAATAAAGTTTTATTGGAATACATACATACACAAATGGCAATAGAAAGGACTACATTGAGAGTATTTAGATAAAGAAAGAAGAGATCATTTATAGGGTGAGGTTCTTGAGAAGGTGCACTGGAATGAAATCCAAAGCATAAGTGGATGGATTGGCCTCTCGTAGGAAGAAAGTGATGTTTTCTATTTGCCATAGGAAGAAGGGAGAGTAGGAGGAATGAAGACAGCATGTAGGTTTGCATATCTGATGGCTATAGGTTAAAGGAGTTTACATCTGAGCACTTTGGCATTCTGGTGATGCTGTAAAAAAGATCTTCAGTTGACGGGGATGGTGGGGAGTTGGAAATTTGAGAAGTCTGAGAAGGTTTAAGAGTTATTGCAAGCATTATTTATAATAGCCAAAGAGTAGAAACAATCCAAATGCCCATCAATTGATAAATGGATAAGAAAAATGTGGCATATCTATACAATGGAATATTATTTAACAATAGGAATGAAGTACTGATATACGCTACAACATGGATAAACCTGGAAAACATTATGCTAATTGAAAGAAACCAGTCACAAAAGGCCACTTAATGTATAATTCCATTTATACAAATGTCCAAAAGAGGCAAAAAAAAGATTAAGTGGTTGTTAGGGGTAGGGGGAAGGGGAGAATGGGGAGTGACTGATAATGGGAATTTCTTTGCTAATGGGGCTTCTTTGGGGGGCAATGAAATATTCTGAAATTAGATAGTAGTGAGGTTGAAGAGTTTTGTAAGTATACTAAAAATCACTGAATTGTGCACTTGAAAGATGTGAATTTTATGGTATGTGAATTATAGCTCAATAAAGTTATTTTTTTTTAAAGACAAGTTATTGCAGAGGGTAGGCTAGTGTACTGTCCAGATAAAGGAATTGGGACCACCAGGTAGCAGGGACATCCATAAAGCTAATGAAACTTCAGCGCAGGTCTCCCCTGAGGGTAGGGAGCTGCTGGGAGAGATGGAGAGTCCTAGTTGGGAGGGGAAGCCAGGATGCACTCAGGAAGCATATTTGTGTAAGGATTCTGGTAAATCATCGTAGAGACCTCAAAAGAAAGGCGCCTGTATCTCCATGGCTCCAGTAAATATGTTTGTCATTTATGTCTTCATTCTAAACACAGATTCATCCTAATTTTATATTTGTAATTGTATATTCTTTTCCTTTAAAAGGACTCTCCAAACTGTATAAGATTTAGGGCCCAGAAAACTAAGACCTATCCTCCTTAGAAAGTTGAGGATCTATTCGAGGTCTTTGAACATGAATTTATGGTGATGCCACTTATCCTGTTGGGTGATTCCCTCCAACAGCACTTGGTTGCTTGGGTGCAGAAGAAAGTAGGGTTGGGCTCATCCAGAATTGGGTTTTGTGAGTTGGGACCATGTCATTAAAAATATAGACCACGGAATTTAAACTGGACAAGGGGGAAGCAGAGAAAGGAGAGGTCTGATGGATCATGAGAAGGCAAAGTGTTAATAGGCTAGAAAAGCTGTTAAGAAGATTACATAGGAAGATATTAAAAGATCAAGTTAGAGGACTTGTGGTTAAAGGAGGATGCTGGAGGTGAATGATAAAGTCCATAGCGGTGATTGTTCGAGGTGATTTGAACCACAGGAAATGATATGATCATTTGCTCTAAGAAAAAGTTTCAACTGTAATCTGCAAGCATCTGTGCAACCTGTCCCTTGCCTGTAACCTCACCCAGTCCAATGTCCCTCTCACTTGCATCACTGCTGCCTTCATTCAGGTCCTCGGGAGCTCCTTCTACACTGAGGACTTGTACACCTAGTAGTTCCTCTGTCTGGAATACTCTCTGCTGCTTTGGCAGGCTAACTCCACTCAACCTGAGGATCTCCGTTTAAAGTCTTTTCCTCAGGGAAGTCTATCCCAACCTATCCATTCTTCTCCCAGGGATATATCTTCCTGTTATATGCCCAGATAAAACTCTCTATTTTTCTTTCACACCATTTCATACCACATATGACTATATTGTAGAAGTTACGGGGCTAATTATCTGTAAAATGTGTTTCTCCAGGATAGAGGAGTGCAAGAATAGGTCTGGATTTCCTCCCTATCCTATCCCAGGTCCTCAGGGACTTGCACATACTAGGATATTCTATAAGTATTTGTTGTATGAATGAAATTTAAGATTCTTATGTGTGATAGCTTTTCCAGCATACATTTTAATGTATAAAGATATAAAATGTGATTTAACAGATAATCTAAAAATGGCATATGTTAAAATAATGCAAATATCCTTTCTAAAATACACACATGAAGTTGTATCTATCTTCAACCTCTCCTCAACCCTTATTTGATCTCTTGAAATACAAATCTAAAACAACACAGTTGAAGATAGGGAAAATACTTAAAGATTTCTTCAAGTATTCTTCTGTCTCATAGAAATGAGATAACTGAATCCCTTATTTGAAATAAAGAAAGGATTACTGGAACTTCCAAAAGCTAAATGGTACAAGATATATTACAATTTTCCATTAAAAAGATTTTATAACAGGAGCAGAGATAGTGATAAATTTTCTAAAGCCAACAGTGAACTAATCTTATGAATGTTAATTATAAATACTCAATGTATATACACACTTCCTATGGGAGAAGTGGAAAACAAATTCAATGATTTCTTTTCCTTTGGACTTGTGACAAAATCTGCATTCACACACTTAAAAAGAATTGCTCTGGTTTATTAGCTGCTGTAAAAATGACAATCACTGCTGTTCTAAAAAGCCTTAAAATTTAAGAAAAACAAGTCCCCTCGCTTGTTCTTTCCCTCTGCCCTGGTCAAGGTTGTCCCTTTTATCTTTTCATAAAACAAGTCTTGGGATTCTCCTCTCTTCACAACATCTTACAAATCTCCATCTAAATGCCTCTTTAAGGAAGACTTACCTCTCACCCCATCTGACTGAGTCCACCCCAGTTATTCTTTCATTTTACTATATTTGTTTCCCTCAGGGCACAACATTTATCACAATCTGTACTTCGGTTGACCCTTTGTTTACGATCCTATGCCACCACAGGAATGTCACCTCCCTGAGTGCAGGGATCTTTGTCACCACCCCAGCACCTAATTCCCTACTGCAATTGTACATTTTCAAACTGAGAGGAATTCCCGAATATGAAAGTCGTGTTAATAAGCAAATGCCCATGTTAACTTATCTCCTAATATTTTTAGCAGTTTTACCTGATTATTTACATTACCTTCTGAAAATTGTTTTGGGGCTTTGTTTTTCATAAATAAATTGGAAAAGATATTTCTCTTACAGGACAACGGTAAGCTAGAAACCAGGTGTCATAATTGTAAAACACACACAAGTAGGCAAATAGAACTAGGACATCCAGTGGGTCTCCCTGTTCTAGACCAACATTCCAAGGGTAGATTTTAAACAACGTCAAGTGGAAGAACCTGGCCACAAACGGAGGGCGTGTGAGACTTTAAAATGTCCCACACAAAGACTCAGTCAAATGCTTTGGCCACACTAAGCGCTCCCACCACTTTGGCAGGCCTGCTCCGGGGACCAGCCCAAGCCAGCGCGGGTGGGGGGTGGGGGTGGGTCCCCCCCCCGCCGTCCTCCCCCCGCCGTCCTCCCCCCGCCGCCGTCCTCCCCCCCAGGCCAGCCGCCACGGCGCGCTCCCCTCTCCCCCTCCCGGTCCCGGCCCTTAAGTCTCCCCGGCCTGGATCCGCGGGGTCGCGGTCTCCCTCCGGGCTGTTTTGATTGCAGGCGGTCAAGTACAGAAAACCCCCCAAACTCCTGATCTTGTGTGCACTACAAGCAGAGCCAACACGGCAAACCACAAACTGACACCCGAACATTCCTCGCTCCTCCACGGGCCCGAGCCCCGGCGGCCCTAGCCTCGCCCGGCCTTCCCCTGCTAGATGCCGGCTGGGGGCTCCGGCCGCCGCTGCCGCAGGGACCCCGTTCCAGCTTCCGGAACTACAGATCCCAGGGTGCCTCTCGGACTCCCTCCCCGGCCCTCTCTCGCTCCCTCCCTCCGCCCGCTCCCTCCGCCCCCGGCCCTTGTTGTTTTGGCTGGAAGCGCTCCGGCGGAGTTTCAGAGAAAGTCTGGGCAGAAAGCGGGGCCGGCCCGGACGTGGGAAGGGGAGGAGGAAAGGAAGAGGGAACCGGGAGGCCCGGCCGCTCTCAACCTGCCGCGCGCCCCGCGGTGGGGGAGGCGGCGCGGGAGGAACGTGAGGGGACGGGACAGTGGGGTCGGTCCCCGGAGCCGAGCAACCGAGTGCCTCGTTCCTCCGCCGCTCCCCGCCCTCTCCGGCGGCTGCGAGAGCGGACCCACCCTCCGGCGGGACTTGCTCCCTGCCCAGCGACGCTCCGCGTTTCGCCGCCACCCCAGCGGCTCCCTGCGTGGCCCAGGACCTGCCCTGCGCCCGCACGAGACCCTCGCGGTTCCCCTTTTTCCTCTGTCCGCCCCCCGCCGTTTCCCGGGCGCCGCGGGGAAGTGACCCACCCTCTCCCGAGGAAGGGGAAGGAGAGGATCGCGCCCGGCGCCCCGAAACCGAGGGGCGAGCCGGGGGGGGCGCCGCGCGCGGGGGCATTGTGTGAGTGTGTGTGTGTGAGAGAGAGAGAGAGACAGAGGGAGAGTGTGTGCGCGCGCGTGCAACGTAGTGTCTGTTTCGGAAAGCGCCTGGGGAGGTCCTGTTCCTAGGGGGCGGAGCGCAGGGGACGGAGGCTCGGCTCCGGGCAGGGGCAGAGTTTTCGCTGAGCCCGAGCGCTGCTGAGGCGGCCGGCGGGACGGCGCGCCTGGCGGCTAGGCGGGCGCACTGAAAGGCCCGGGCGCCCTCGGCCCGGCAGCGGCCCCTGCCCCGAGGTGTCGGCCTTGGCGACGCTGCCCGCTTCTGTTCACGTCCGCGGACCCGTGCGGGAGACGGCCGGACGCGCACACCCAGTGCGCAGCGGAGCCCGCGCGTCCCGTCTGTCCCGGCTGCGCCTCGGGAGAGCCAGGTTCTGGCTGCTGCGCCGCCGGCGGGCGTCGGCTGTGTCGGGAGCGCGCCCGCCCGCCCCTCCGCTGTCCGGCCGGGAGCCGGAGAGGCGCGCACCATGAGCGGCGGCGAAGTGGTCTGCTCGGGATGGCTCCGCAAGTCCCCCCCGGAGAAGAAGTTGAAGCGTTATGTAAGTAGCGCTTCGGTCGCCTCTCCTTGGGCCTCCCCGCCCGCACCGCTGTCCTGACCGCGCGCGGGGCTGGTTCTTCAACTTAGTCCTCCATCTCTTTCCCCTCGGCCCCTTCCGCGGCAGGCTCGGGACCGAGGCTGTAAGCTCACGCCCTGGCCTCCCTCCGCTTGGCCGGCTAACTTTCTTCCTCCAGTTTCCAGACGGCCTGCTTTGCGGGCCTCATCGGCCCGTGGGAGGGCCCGGGATTTCCACCTAATGCCTGCTGCATGTTTTTATTACTCCTTGTAGCAGAGGGGGGGGGGGGAGCATTTTTCTTTCTTTATGTTTGCATTTAATCATCATGGGGGTGCTGTATACTGAATTTCTCGCAACCGAAAAACCGCTGAGGTTTTAGAACTCAGCAGCCCTCTCTGTGGTCCGTGCTGTCTCGTCTTTCCCCGCCCCCCCCTCCCCCGAGGTGCGGGGAAACTGTGGACTGTGGACCTGAGAAGTTGGTATTAGAAACCAGCATCTCAAATCCGTGCAAAAGAGAAAGAAAAGTTGCTACGCGCCCTGCCGTTTGCTTAGCAGGGTTCGCATTTTCGCGGTTTTGAATCAAGGGACGGTGGGGTTTGGCCCGAGAGCCTTGGCAGTTCGCTGCGAGAGGAGGGCGCTGGGGGGAGCCTGGCGGCTGGTGTCTGGGCGCCTTGGACGCGCTGTCAAGCCTCGCAGGAGGGGGGACAGCTGAGGCCAGTAGGATTTCTGTGTGTTGCGGTCCTTTCCCAGGCCACCAGGGTTACTTAAATGGCATTGGTGTAATTGATACAAGATGCTGATTATGTGTTAAACCATTTTAGCTGTTAAGAAAAATATTCCTTGAAAGAACCAACCTCACTTTGGTGGACATCTATGTCCTCTTCAGGGATCTAGAATCTTATCCCTTCTCACCCATTGGTTCTTTTGTCGCTGCCCTCTGCAAAGGAAAGAAATGACACGTTTGTCCTGGCGTATGGAGCCAATGTTTTTCTACTAAAATGTGTTTTCAGAAGCAAAATGTATGCCTCCTTAAATATAAATTTACTGTAAGAGGCCGGCACTTCCAATGGAACATGCTTCTTTTTGAAGGCTATCTACACCCAGTATTAGAACCCAGATTAATCTTATTAGTCACTGCTTGGATAGTGAAGTGCAGTATTTAACTTCACCGACTCACCAGTGAGTTTCTGGTTCACTTTCTGCCGAGCATTTGTTATAGACAAGTAATTATCGTTTAAAAACTTGATGCCATGCATCCTAAGAAACTTCTCCAGAAATGTGAACCCTTCCAGATCCCGTCTCTTGACTTAATCAGAGTTTCCTGAATGTTCTGGTGAAGATGCTAACTTTATTCCAACATTTGTGGGACGCCGTGTTCATTTAGTTCTTTAGTTTTAAAAAGAAGGTTGTATGTGTGTGAGAAGAGGGAGTAGAGAGATAGGTGTGTTTGTTTTGAGAGGCACAGTTTAGGAAACACAGAGACCTAAGGAGGAAACTAAAGGACAGTACATTTGCCTAAATAGGTAGTGATTATAGAGACTTAATGCATTCTTTCACATGGTTGGTTTATGGCTCTCTCAAAAGATGCCTACCACTGGACTAGGCACCATAAGATTAGAAAATACAGTAGGAAATAAGCCCTGCCTAGTGAGCTTGCAATTTAATGTAATATAATTTAGGAAGAACATCAGCCAAAAAGATTGTCTTAGCAAGGACAAAGAAAATGAAAAGTCCCAAATAAAAATATATGTATTATTTCATTTGATCATTACAACAGTTTTATGAGGTACATATTATCTCTGTTTTATAGATGAGAAAAGAGTTTCTGTAACCGGAATGTGCCACAGACAGGATTTGAACCTAGATCTGCCTAACTGGGCTATCAAAGGTTAATGACTCATCTAGTTCATTTTAAGTGGAGCTCAGACTAAGTCATCTTTAAAGCTCCTTTCAGTTTATAACTTTCTAGGAGTCTATGAATATTAGTTGAGAATGCAAGGAAGAAGCGAGTTGGGGATAAGCTGTGTTGTGCTAAAGAAACATAAGACCCTTCAAGCAGCTTTCTGAGTCTTTCGAGAAATGACACAAGAATATGTGAAAAAGTCAGCCAACAACATAAAGTGGTTTCAGATTGTGTGCCCAAGCTGACTGTTATTTATTTTTTTTAATAGATGTTTTGAGGAACAAGCTCAATGTCGTCTGAAACCATGGGGATACTTTAGAGAGGGAGCGGGCTCCCTAAATTGTTTTCAACAGGGGGAAGAATATGCCTAACAGCTTGGGGGAGGTGGGGTTTTCTTGCCTGGCTGAGCACTCGTGTTTTCTTTATACATGGATATGGCCCAGGAAGACAGTGTGCAGGTGGCTACCAAAATTTAAGGGGTCCCAGAGGATGACTAGAGTGTTGTAAGTTAAAATGAGGCCTGTCTTTTAGTTTAGCTGTCAAGTTGGTTGCCCAGAAGTTTTTGACATTTCCAGATTATTGATCTTTAGGCTTTGGTATCCAGTTCAGATTGTTTTTGCTAAAGCAGCTTTGACCCTCAAAGACATACAAATATTCATGCATTTCTGATTTTTGTTTTCTTTTCATGTAAAATCTTTATGAAAATAAAGGGTAAAAGGAAACATTGTTGGCCATCCAGTAGACAAAATGTTGCTTGATAATAGTTTTTAATGAATGGATTTGCTGTAAAAATTTATCTTGGATGAGTGGTACTGTAATTGTTAAACGAGACATCAGGAGTTTGAACACTGATTCTTTCGGGGGCATTTGGCCCATGGGATTTTAACAGTTGTCTTGCTGTTTACAGTATTTATAGGGTAGTCCAAATGTCGATTAAGATGATACTTAAGGGCTTTTACATGACAAAAAATTTGTTTTAGTTTTTATCTTTAAAGTCATCTTTTATTATGGCTCCCGTGCATTCCATTTACAACTCCATTTTATGTTTACTGTTTCATAGTCAACTCACACAGCATTGTTTTCTTTGCACACTAGTGTGTTCCTCTGGTCTGAAATCTTTTCTTAAATTTCCTAGAGAGACTGAAAGGAACATCAAAAAAAGAGAGAAAGCCTGGAGAAGTGTGTAGATTTCCTAGCCTTTTCATCTCTTTTTGCTTTTTTCTATATCTCTTTGCAAAAGGGTAAGAACCTCTTCTAATATATTTCATCCTCTGAATTTTTTGAAGTCTACTTAAAGTGGAGGTGACAATGTCCATGCTTTCTTTCAGTTTTGCTAGTGCTGTGTTTTGTTTTTTGTCCTGTGTTGTATATTAAACAGCTGCTTTTTTACTTTAAGGACCTGAGTGGAAACATACAGATCACCGTCACTAGGGTTACAGAAAACAAGTAAACTCTTGGTAGTATGCACTTAACAGTGGTGCTCAGATTTTTAAAGAGTTATTTAAAGACAAGTCAGCCTTTTGGAATAATGGTAGGATTTTCATCAGGACTTGAAATTTCAGCCAAGATAAAATGTAAGTCTGAAAACAAAGGATTGATTCAAGCCAGCTGGCTATCGCCGTATCTCTGCAGGAGGAGCTTCCCTATGGCCTGCCTCAAGTCTGGACACCAAGTTTGGGCTCCTCCATGGCCCAGCTGTCAGCATTGGGCAGGTGTGCAGTCTCAGCAGGAGAACCTGCTTCTGAGGCCAGACCAAGGTGGCCTGTGAGCTGCCAGCCAGCCTGGGAGCAAGACCTCGGCCAGTTTGCGGGTGTGTAATCTGCACCCAGCTTGGGCTCCGCTCTTCAGCTGTCAGTTAATAGGATGGTTCTTGTCCGGACTTCCAGAACATGCCCCTGGTTTTGGAAATGGGCCTAGAAACAGAAATAGCCTCTTCCTCTGGGTGGGCACCTGACCTCTTCCACGGAGGAGAGGGGCACAGGCAGCCAGAATTAGCATGCCCTTGTTCGAGGACAGCCCAGGATCTGTGCTAAGCATTAGGTCGCTGCTAAGTAGGGTCACTACAGCAAATGGGACTGTGATGTCTGTAAGCTCTTCCTGTACTTTTTTTTTTTTTTTTTTTTGCAATTACCAGTGGCAGTCAAGGGACTCTGAAGCTTTTGCTTACAGTGACTGAAGGAGCATAATTATTGTATCGAAGGAGTTTTTTTCTTGAAAACTTCAGGATAGTAAACGTCCATTCAAATTCTTAATGTTTTCTTTTTTACCTTTTCTCATGTGGTAGGAACACTGTTTCTGTTACCAAAGATCATCAACTACCAGTTCCATTAAGCCTTCATGATAGGTACTGATAGTTAATTCTTTCATTGTGCCTGGACTTAATGATGAGTACAAAACTCTCCATGTAAAACTTGCTGAATTCCTAAATCTGATTGTTGTCTTTCGGGATTTAAAATTATCATTGGGAAGTTGTATCAGTTTGGAAGGTAGTTTTAGAATTCTGATGTTTTGAAAATTTGGTTTTGAATTTTCTAAAAAGATCATCTTTGAACAAAATACAATAATATGACAAGAGTTATACTTGGATAATCTGGTTGACAGCTGAATTGGTTATTTCAGTGTGTTGTGCGATTATTAAGTCTTTAAAAATTAGGAAAATAAAATGACAAAGCACTTTTTATGACTAAACTTCATATATATATATATATATATATATATATATATATTTTTTTTTTTTTTTTTTTTCCCCTTAAGTTTATTTTCAGTAATCTCTGCACCCACCTTGGGGCTCCAGCTCATGACCCTGAGATCAGGAGTCGCATGCTCTTCCAACTGAGCCAGCATGTGCCCCAATAGAATTCCATATTTTGTAGTCAACATAAAAAATATGTAGATAAGGTCTTGATAATTTGCAGATTGAGGAATTTTAAGAGGTGGTAGATTCAAAACATTGAGTGCCATCACTCCTAATTTTCTCACAGAAACTAACACAGGAGAAGGGACATCACAGCAGGTAGACGACTACTTTATTTTTGAAGGATTTGGAGTAAATTGTACTACTGTGGAAGGGACCCTGGACTGA